AGGGTCCAATGTTGGGGTGTTACAAGTCATCCTTTATAGGTCCCCAAACAGTAGGATTCCCTTACCCCAATAAGGTACCCTTATTTTCGGAAAGCCCCATATGGGTTGTTCTCTATGTAGGTACTCTGGCTCTTTTGACTACGGTTCCCTTATCAAGCGGTTCTTACTATTGCTTATACTGCGATGATTGCTTTTCTGAGTACCAACACTCTTACTAATACTGCAAGTACTATGCAAACTATGGAATACGCTACTATCACGAATCCATGGTTTCACGCGCTTGCAATTGGTTTAGAGTTGCAACCCCAAACCCTAAACCCTGAACCCTAAACCCGAAACCCGAAACCCTCAACCCTCAACCCTAAACCCTGAACCCGAAACCCTAAACCCTAAACCCTAAACCCTGAACCCCTAGCCCTAAACCCTGAACCCGAAACCCTAAACCCTGAACCCTAAACCCGAAACCCTAAACCCGAGACCCTACACCCTAAACCCTAGCCCTAAACCCCAAACCCTAAACCCTAAACCCTAAACCCTAAACCCTAAACCCTAAACCCTAAACCCTGCCTTCAGCGTGTCCCAGGCATCTTTGTGGAGGACGCGGTGCTCGAAGCCGTGCTCCGCCACACGGCGGAAGCCGTCGTGAGCATCTCGGATCCTTCAGGGCTTCGCCCCTTTTAGGGTTTAGGGTTTAGGGTTCAGGGTTCAGGGTTTAGGGTTTAGGGTTTAGGGTTTAGGGTTTAGGGTTTGGGGTTTAGGGTTTGGGGTTTAGGGTTTAGGGTTTAGGGTTTTGGGCTAGGGTTTAGAGCTTAGGGCTTAGGGTTCCGTGTTTTTGGGTTGAGAGTTGGGGGTTTTCAGGGTCCAGGGCCTAGGGCTGAGGGGGTTTAGAGCTCAGGTGCTTAATTAGAGTTTAGGGTGCAGGGGATTTGAAGTTGGGCCCGCAACCCCAAGCTACCTCAACATCGGCGGATGTTGATGCTTCTAAGAACTCCTTAGATTGGGATTTTCCCCCTTATATACTAACAGTCAACCCTAAACCCTAAACCCTAAACCCTAAACCCTAAACCCTAAACCCTAAACCCTGAACCCTAAACCCTAAACCCTAACCCTGCCCTGAATGATCTGAGTTCTCATGCGAGGAGCTCATTGCCATCCACACTCACCTGTGCTTGCGGGGGACAGGGTCCGTCCAAAAATCCTAAACCCTAAACCCTAAACCCTAAACCCTAAAACCCTAAACCCTAAACCCTAAACCGGGAATCCGAAACCAGAAGGGTTGGAGACGAGCCCTGGGCTTCTAAATCCAGAGCTTTTACGGTCACATTCAGGTTTTGGCCTGGGGGTCTTCAGGGTTCAGGTTTTGGGGCTGTAGATTTAAGCTTCGGGGGGCATGAAACGAGTTCTGACCTTAAAAGGGCGAAGGCAACCCTGCAGGCACTGAGAAAGCCATCCCTTTGGGCTTCTGGGCTTCGGCGAACCCTATATAGCCCCGAACTTCCCAAACATCCCTCGTTGGGGCTTTAGGTTTGGGGTTTAGGGTTTGGGGTTTAGGGTTTAGGGTTTAGGGTTTAGGGTTTAGGGTTTGGGGTTTGGGGTTTAGGGTTTAGGGTTTTATGTGTTCATTTGGGAAATACTTTCCCTATACTTTGCAGCTCTTTTTGGTATTAGTGACTAAAGGGTTCACCAAGGGCCCTAAACTGCTAAACCCCTAAACTCCTAACCCCTAAACACCTAAACTCCGAGAACCCCGAAACCCCTAGACCCCTCCACCAGAAGCCCTCAAGGCTCTGCGGGCCCTCGAGTTTTGAGGGGACCCAGGATTCATGGTTTCGGGTTGAGGGTTGAGGGTTGAGGGTTTACGGGTTTACGGGTTTACGGGTTGAGGGTTGAGGGTTGAGGGTTGAGGGTTGAGGGTTGAGGGTTGAGGGTTGAGGGTTGAGGGTTGAGGGCTTAGGGTTTCTGATTGAGGGTTTCGGGTTGAGGGTTTACGGGTTTAGGGTTTAGGGTCTTTTGTTGAAGGGTCTTGGGTCAGGTCTGAGGGCCAAACTCTTGGGCAGACGAAAAACTCAGCAAGAGTGCCGAGACACACCAGATGTTTCTGCGACATTCGCCAGCTAGCCTTAACCCGTAAACCCAAAAACCTAAACCCTGCACCCGCCCGTCTCAGGGTTCAGGGTCCAGGGTCCAGGGTTCAGGGTTTAGGGTTTAGGGTTTAGGGTTTAGGGTTTAGGGCTTAGGGTTTAGGGCTTAGGGTTTAGGGGTAAAACCCCATACAAGCCCCCAGACCCGAACCACCCAAAAGCCCAGCCCCGAACCCCAAGGCCAGGCCCTGAAATTCGGTGTCCAGGAGGCTGCGTTGTTGGCCAAGCCGAAGCGCTCTGCAGCAGCCTGGCGGGCTTGAGGTCTAGGGTTTAGGGTTTAGGGTTTAGGGTTTAGGGTTTAGGGTTTAGGGTTTAGGGTTTAGGGTTTAGGGTTTAGGTTTTAGGGTTTAGGGTTTGGGGTTTAGGGTTTCAGGTGTGGGGTGCACGAACAGTTCGTGCTGTGGAGCGGACGCCATAGTCAGCGAATCTTGGGTTCAGGGTGTGGGGTTTCGGATTCATGGTATGCAGGACGTCAATGAAGCAGACGGGCTGTCCGAGAACAATTTAGCTCATTCGGCAACCTAGAGCCAAAACCTGAACCCAAGCTGGCATGAAGCCCAGTTTACAAGCTCTCTGAGCACAACTTAAACAGACAACTCACACAAGCAACAGCACAATCCTACTCGAAGCTGCGTTGCGATCGTTCTTCGCGAAACGCTGGAGGCCGCGAAAGTGTCTGTAACGGTCAACATCCTACTTGCCACACACTATGGAGATGCTTCCACAATGGCAATAAAGAGCCTAAACCCTAAAAGACTATGTATGTTGCTGCATCACCACCGAGAGACCTCCGGTGTCCGGCACGGATGCTTCTGCAAGAAACAGAAACGATGCGAGATAAAGTCAACCCTCGTGTGCGAATCGGGTCTAGGGCTCCAAGGTAGCTTGCTTAGGGTTCAGGGTTTAAGGGTTCAGGGTTTAGGGCTTAGGGCTTAGGGTTTAAGGGCTTAGGGTTTAAGGGTTCAGGGTTTAGGGCTTAGGGTTGAGGGTTTAGGGCTTAGGGCTTAGGGGTTGAGGGTCTTAGTTGTCCTGCATAGCCCCGAATATGTCCACCTAAGCCTCCTGATCAGGGCACAAGAAAACGACCCCTGATTTTGGTCCAACCCTTTCAACCCTACACCAACCCCTACACTAGGGTTTAGGGTTTAGGGTTTAGGGTTTAGGGTTTAGTGGTTAGGGTTTAGGGTTTAGGGTTTAGGGGTTAGGGTTACAGAACGACCCTACACCCTGAACGCTAAATCCTGAACTCTAAGCCCTACACCCTAAACCACTCTTTCATATATAATATAAATGTTAATGACTTTGCGGGCAAGGTCCTATATTTAGCGGGCAAGGTCCTATATTTAGCGGGCAAGGTCATATATTTAGCGGGCAAGGTCATATATTTAGCGGGCAAGGTCATATATTTAGTGGGCAAGGTCCATTGGCTAAAAAAAGACCTTGCCCACTAAATATATGACCTTGCCCGCTAAAGGGCGACCTTGCCCACTAAATATAGGACCTTGCCCGCTAAATATAGGACCTTGCCCGCTAAATATAGGACCTTGCCCGCTAAATATATGACCTTGCCCGCTAAATATATGGCCCGGGCCAGGTCATATATTTAGCGGGCAAGGTCATATATTTAGCGGGCAAGGTCCTATATTTAGCGGGCAAGGTCCTATATTTAGCGGGCAAGGTCCTATATTTAGCGGGCAAGGTCCTATATTTAGCGGGCAAGGTCATATATTTAGCGGGCAAGGTCATATATTTAGCGGGCAAGGTCATATATTTAGCGGGCAAGGTCATATATTTAGCATCATATTTTAGCGGGCAAGGTTCATATATTTAGTGGGCAAGGTCCCCCCCCCCCCCCACGCCCCCCCCCACCCACCCCCCCCCCCACCCCACCCCCCCCCCCCACCCCCTCCCACCCCCCCCCCCTCCCCACAACCGCCCCCCCCCCACCCCCCCCACCCCCCCCCCAAACACAACAACCTCCCCGCCCCGGAGCCCCCCCCCCCCCCGCCCCCCCCCCCCCCCCCCCCCCCCCCCCCCCCCCCCCCCCTGGAGCCCCGCAAAAAAGTCGATTCAAGATGGCTTCCAAAGAATAAGTTCCCGAATGACCGCGCCTGTTTTTGAGGCCCCTGAAGCCCCTCAAACGACTCAAGAACTCAAGATGGCTTCCAAAGAATAAGTTCCCGAATGGAAACATGTGGTTAACAAATCCATTCTGTTGACCACGTTGGTTTTCTTGTCCGCTCGAAACAGAAACATGTGGTTGACAAATCCATTCTGTTGACCACGTTTGGTTTTCTTGTCCGCTTGAAACAAACACATGTGGTTAACAAATCCATTCTGTTGACCACGTGCCTAGAGAAGAAGGAGGTTGGATATTTTTCCTAATGGTGTGGGACCCAATGGGCGGGTGGGTATTCCCCTGTGGCCTTGAAAGCTGCTCAACTAGTGAATGCTTGGACCAGAGATGCTGAATCCTAAACCCTAAACCCTAAACCCCAAACATCAAAGCCCTAAACCCTAAACCCTAAACCCGAAACCCTAAACCCTAACCCTAAGCCACACCCCGCCTCTGCGGCGAGTGTGCTCTTGCCTGCGGCCGGAGGGCCGAAGATCCACAGCGCCTGAGGCTTGGGTCGAGACTGTAAGTTGGGTTTAGGGTTTAGGGTTTAGGGGTTTCGGGTTTAGGGTTTGGGGTTAGGGTTTAGGGCTTTTTTTAACGGACATGCTTGAGCAGATCAGCGCGCGCTAAATTCCGAGCAAATGCGCCGTTGCGTCTTAGCAACGAAAAGCGACTTTGGAGCAAAACTCCTGAAAGGCGGGACGGTGGTGGGATAAAACCTCACCCGCCGCCCAGAGGCGTCAAATGCGCCCAAAAAGGTCTGGGGCCTTCCACTTGGATGGCAGGTCGCCAAGCATGTTGATGGCGAGGGAGTGTACTCTGTACCTGTGCCGTGATGTCACTCTGTACATACACCACTCGGCACCGGCCCTGTTGTTTCAGGTGCTCTCTGAGTCGAAACTTGTCCCAGAACTCTGTACAGCAAACCTCGCATCGTGTGCCAAAAGCGACAGTGGAAGCCTCAGAGCGGATGCCGTGGCGCTGCCACTTGTGCAGCGCGTGCAGTCGCTGGGTAGGCTGCGCTGCGCCACAAATGCCACATATCCAGCCGTCATCAAGATCGCCCTGCGTCGTGGCCACCCGCTGTGGGATGTATTGTACATCTGTGGAGTGGGCTTCACGCAAACCACGTCCAAACTCTGCACGAGCCTCCACAACTCCTCGCAGGAAACGTCGAATAAGGTTGTGTAGGCATTGCTTATGTCCGCGCAAGGCCGTAAGCAGGCGCGCCAGGTCCGCGCCAATAATGAAAGCAGGGTCCACGCAGGCAGATTTGGTAGCTCGCACCACTTCCGCCAGGGCCTCGCGTGCCTGTCGCAGCCATACACCATCTGCCACAGCAGCCTCCCACACCTGGATTGCGGGGATCGCCGTTGCCTCGAGAATGGACCGTGCTTGTTCTGCGAGCAACAGCTCCCGTGGGAGCGGCAGTCCCAGCATGGCCGCGGCCTGTTCCGTGTTGTACCCCTGCTGTGAGATCCCAAGGACGGGGCGAAGTGCTCCGCGTAATACCTGGGACAAAGGCTCAAGGGCTGCCTGCTGCTCGTGGGCCGTCTCCAATCTCCAGAGCCCTGCGCCAAAAAGGTACTTTGTAAATACCCTCTCTGCGATGAGACGCAGCTTCTCGGCCACTGTGACATACGGGTTGCTGAGCACCTTGCGCCGCAGCGGCTGCCAGACTTCCTGCATCAGTGCGTAGCGCCGCTTCAGGTTGGGATACTCATGGCAGTCGGCCTTCAAGACCGCCCGCAGGTGCACATACGATTCCACTACCCGGACTCGGAGTGCGCGGCCATGTGCAGTGTCAACCTGGACGTGTGGGCAGTCTTGGCTAAAGAGCTGTTTCCTAACAGGCAAGGCTCCGTGCCCCCGCAAAGCAAGGACGGCCTCCGTTTTGCCTGGCCCGTAGTTGAACTGAAGCCCAATGCCTTGAACCAACTCCTCTGCAAGCTTTGCTACCGCAGCCAGCGCTTCAGGCGTCGCCGCTGCACTTGGCGCGCTGAAGAGCACCGCCACATCATCCGCCCACGTGGGGCTGCTGGAGACATCCTTACGCCCACATCCTCCGCCCTCTTTGGGCTGGCGACAGACAAAAGCGGGGAGGCCTGCCTCTGAGAGCGCCCGTTGAAGGCGGCAAAGGAAAGGCGAGAAGAGTATGCCAAAAAGGGTGTCCGCAATGGGGGACCCAGGTGACGTACCACTGTGCGTCTGCCAGAGGTACACTCCTTCGCGGTCGGTAGTGAACCAGGATTGGGTGAAAAGGCCTTCGACGTACCGCCGCAGTTCCGCAGGGACGTGCTCCTGCTCCAGAATGGAGCCCTCTCCGAGCCGACTGAGGAAGGCCTGCTTCTCAAGCGGGTCTTGGAAGAGCTGGTTGGCACGGTCGACCAGCCATGAGGGGGTCGCGACATTGGAAGGCGTCACCAGAACTTCCCTTGCGACAGAGTAGTATGCCGCAGTACAGTCCAAGAAAAGAATACCACCGCACTCTCCTTTGGCACGAAGCGCGGCGAAGTGTGAGCGAGCAAGGAACGCCGGCAATGTGAGCGGGCACCCTGGCACACCGCCATATTGATCGAATGGGCGCCCCTGACAAAAGACTTGGAGCAGCTTTGGGCGAAATGCCCTCTGCACGGCCTTGGCGTCCGCCTCTAGCAGCATGATTGACCGCCACGAAGCACAGCACGAAGGGTCTTTTGCCCCCTTCGGTATACTGTGAGCAAGGCCTCCAGTCCACTGCAGGGGGTGCCTGCCGCTGGTCAAGGCCTTGGCAAGGATCGGCCAAACGGCGGCCGCTGAGGCCTGCGGAGCCATCCTAAACAGGTCAGCCGGCAGTCCCGATAGTCCCGGGGCCTTACCGCGCGCAAGCTGTCCGAAGGCGGCGGAGAGCTCCACGACAGATGGCACCGCCGCCCCGTCAATTGAGCACAGAGAGCTGCCATGCTCGCGCGCGGCCTGCGCCAGGAATGGCTCGGCATCGACCTGTTGCCCACGTTCTGCCAGCGCAAAGAAGGCCCCCAACGTGGCCTTGACTTCAGCGGCGGTATGGCAGGTCCCTTGCTCCGTGGTCAGAGCTGGCAGTAGCGGCGGGGGCTTGAATTTGCGGCCTGTTCTGAGAATGGAACGTATTTGGTGTGCAAATGCCGCTGCGCCAAGGTCTCTGGCATTTTGCATCTGTCTGCGCAAGAGCTCTGCTTTGTCGAACTGAGCGTTCAGACGCTGGCTCCATTCATATGCGTACTGCTTCCCTTGCCAACGAAGGAGGTGGCGCCGCAGTGCACGGAAGGCGGTAGGCAAAAATGGAGCCAGGGCTTAGGGTTTAGGGTTCAGAGTTTAGGGTTTAGGGTTTAAGTAGCATAGAGGCTGCATTGGGCCAAACCGAGCTTGATGCAGTATGCCAGAAAGGGAGAATGCTTGGGGGTTTGGGGTTTAGGGTTTAGGGTTTAGCGTTTAGGGTTTAGGGTTGAGGGTTTAGGGTTTAGGGTTTAGGGTTGAGGGTTTAGGGTTTAGGGTTTAGGGTTTAGGGTTTAGGGTTTAGGGTTTGGGTTTAGGGTTACCTCCCAGCCCCCACATCCCAGCCTTGGGCCGCTCCGGCTCCGGCACATGCTCGACGCTCAACAGCCCGACCTGCCGGGGCTTTCCAGGGTTTAGGGTTTGGGGTTTAGGGTTTAGGGTTCAGGGTTTAGGGTTTAGGGTTTAGGGTTTAGGGTTTAGGGTTTAGGGTTTAGGGTTTAGGGTTTAGGGTTTAGGGTTTAGGGTTCAGGGTTTAGGGTTTAGGGTTTAGGGATTCGGGCTTCAAGCCTACACCCGCGGCCATAGTTCACACGTCCCAGCCTGGCTGTAGATCCTGTTTTTCTCCTCTTCTGTGAAGGGCTGGCTCCTTCATATGAATAGGGCTTAGGAAAAAAGAAAAGAAAAACAGATCCCCTACGCAAGCTGAACTGCCATAACTCACCTCTTAAGTAGGGGTGGGGAGTGGTGGGACCCTGAAACCTAGAACATGATCCCCTAAACCCTCAGACCCTCAACCCCTAAATCCCCAACCCCCGAAACCCTAAACCCCCAACCCCCTAAAGCCCTAAACCCGAAACCCTGAACCGCTGAACCCCTGAACCTCTCAAAACCCCTTCGGCCTCTCAACCCATAAACCCTAAACCCTGAACCCCTAAACCCTAAAGCCCTAAAACCCTAAACCCCTTTCCCCAAACCCTGGCCAAACCCCTAAACCCAAAACCCCTATAAACCACCCCAAAACCCTAAAACCCATAAACCCTAAACCCTAGACCCCCAAACCGCGACACCCCCAAACTCCTAAACCCCATAAACCCCAAACCTTAAACCTTGGGGATTGATAAGGATTATACCTCCCCATTATAAACCCTACTAACAAGCCTTGATAGGTATTATCCAGTAAAATCCCTGCCAAGGACTGTTAGTATAAGGGGAACACCCCTAAACCCTGAACCCTAAACCCTAAACCCTAAACCCTAAACCCTAAACCCTAAACCCTAAACCCTAAACCCTCAACCCTAAACCCTAAACCCTAAGGAGGCAAGGCGCAGCGTTGACTTGAGCTCTGCCGGGATCTTACCCCGGGTAATGTGAAAGATCTCATCGCTTTCCCCCGGCTGGCCCGGCAGAATGATTCCTGGGGGGGAACCTAAACCCTAAGCCCTAAACCTTAAACCCCCAAACCCTAAACCCCAAACCCTAAACCCCAAACCCTAAACCACAAACCCTAAAGAAAAAACCCTAAACCCCAAAAACCCCTAAGCCCTAGGCCCTAAACCCTAAACCCTAAACCCTGGTGCCGAGTCGGTTTCGGGGGCTTCGGGTTTCTGGCCTGAAGGGGCGGGGCTCTGCTAGGAGTTTGCTAAGGTGCTTTATGCTTAGGGTTTAGGGTTGAGGGCTCAGGGTTTAGGGTTTAGGGTTTAGGGTTTAGGGCTTAGGGTTTAGGATTTGGGGCTTAGGGTCCCAAATAGTAGAATTCCCTTTTCATCAGGACCCCACCTAGTTTTCGGAAACCCCCATATGGGCTTATGGTTGCTTTTATTTTTGGTTTTGTTGGTTTGCGGTTAGGGGTTGTCTGTGCTTTTTGTCAAGGTGACTTATATGGGGGTTCTGGGATGGGGGCAGAACCAATTAAACCCTAAACCCTAAACCCTAACCAGAGGGGTTCCCAGGGGCTCACGGGATGTTTATGGGCCTTTTTCGGTCTTATGGGGCTGATCTCCTTTTTGGGTGTTTGCTAAGGCTTGCAATCATAGGGCTCATAGGGTTTGCAGGGGCTTGTCGGGGTTTAGAGGCAGGAGGCTTGACAAGGTTGACATTCGGTCTTAGGTATGCGGTTTTGGTGGGGGGACCGCCGGGGGGGGGGGGGGGGGGGGGGGGGGGGGGGGGGGCAAGGTTCTAGGATTTCGTGACTCTGCGTGCGTTCGGTTCTAAGGTTCAGGTGTGGGCGTTTCCGGGGTTGGGGTTGAGGATTCCCTAGGTGGCCCCTGTTAAAGCACTCTGACAGTGTTCCGAAAAATCATACTCGTAAACCCAATGAGGGAGGGAAAATAGAGATGACGTCCCAAGGGCCTAGCCGGCCACACCCCACACCTAAACTGTCTCTTAGTAAAGAAGGAATGAAGGCACCCTAGATACTCCCTTAAAGGGTATATATGGGTATTTCCAACAAATAGGGGTTATGGTAGAGTCCTTATTACAGGAATCACCAAAACGGGTACCCCTATTTGCGGAAATCCCCTACTAAGAACCAGGCATTCAAACCTCAACCCGAAACTCCATCAACCCTAAACCCTAAACCCTAAACCCCAAACCCTAAACCCTAAACCCTAAACCCTAAACCCTAAACCCTACTGGACGCTCTGAAACTTCCGAGCTTGCCGGAGTCTTGAGGGAACCGGGACCTTAAGCCCTCAACCCTCAACCCTCAACCCTAAACCCTAAACCCTAATTAAACCCGAAACCCAAAACCCTAAACCCTAAACCCTAAACCCGAAACCCTAAACCCTAAACCCTAAACCCCAAACCCTAAACCCCAAACCCTAAACCCTAAACCCTAAACCCTAAACCCCTAAACCCTAAACCCTACCCTCAAGAAGGCCATGGCTCGCTCTGTCTGCTGTACCTCAGCTGGCGGGCGCTTGTGAGGGTCTCAGCGTCTTCGGGCTTTGGGGATCGATTGTTCAAGGGACTCAAGGAGTAACCCTTCTAAGGGACCTTAGGGGTAATTTAGGGGTTAATTAAGGTTAAGGGTTTAGAGATTCGGGTTGAGGGTTTGGGGTTTGGTTTGGGGTTTGGAATTCGGGGTTCGGGGTTCGGGGTTTGGGGTTCGGGTTCGGAGCCTTTGGGGATGTAGGATGTGGCATTCTGTGACGGTTTGGGGCTACACAGGATGCCGAGTTTCGAGCTCTGTTCTTAACCCGCAGAGAGAACCCCGGACCCTCCAACCCGAAGCATGCCGAGGCCCTCCCAAAACTCTAGCCCGCGTCATGCCTCGAATCGTCTTAAGTCTAACGGTCCAATCTCCTAGAGCCCCTCCAGTTCCTGCCAAAGGGCCGATGAAACGAAGGCCGACCCCAAAAGAAGAGAACTCCTTCGAGCGACCATGGTCTGCTGGTTACGGCACATACCTTCTGCCTCTGCCCCTTGCCTGTACAGAGAGGCCTTGACTTGAGAGCAAGGAAAAGGCGGCAGCGGATATGATGTTACTGCTATTGGTGAGTGTATATAAGGTTCCTTGTTAATATTGGTGAGTGTACATACTGGGTGTCCTTTTAAAGGTGTGTCAGAATCAAGACACCTCTACACCCTACAAAGACGTGGGCTAACAGAAGCTTCAAGGCGAGAATTTGCGAGGGCGATTTATTGGAGAGAAACTACCCTACGCCCCCCACTGCTAAGGGGAGAGGGCCACAGGATCAGTGTATGCCACGAGTTTAGCTGTTCCCAGCTGTCAAAAGCGAAATGACGAGCCGGAGATCCTGCTTAGCCCCAACTCTTGCGGTTACACCCTAAACCCTAAACCCTAAACCACGGTTGACAGTTTAGAGCTTGTGCTTCAATCTTCGGAGATGGCACTCGGTACCTCGAGCAAATTTTACAAAACAACGTTCAACCTCTACGATATTGCTTAAAAAATATGAAATGAAAACTTAAGCATAGATGTTAGCACAAACAGAATCCTAATCGAAGAGTATGACCTTGTTGCAACTCACTACTTTTTGAATCAACAAATGATAATGCAGCTGCAAGATTTCCACTTCGTTTTGTTATATCTTGATAAGTTAAATTATCATGTTTGCAGAATTTGCCTTAAACCCTAAACCCTAAACCCTAAACCCTAAACCCTAAGCCCTAAACCCTAAACCCTAAACCCTAAACCCTAAACCCTAAACCCTAAACCCTAAACCCTAAACCCTAAACCCTAAACCCTAAACCCTAAACCCTAAACCCAAGCCCTAAACCCTAAACCCTAAACCCTAAACCCTAAACCCTAGATCTGCAAAATACTAAGAATATCCATGACAACAACGCATCTCGGACCGGGCTCCGGTTTGGAGTTGTGGGTTTTGGCTTGGGTTTGGGGTTCAGGGTTTAGGGTTTAGGGTTTAGGGTTTAGGGTTTAGGGTTTAGGGTTTAGGGCTTAGGGCTTAGGGTTTAGGGTTTAGGGTTTAGGGTTTAGGGTTTAGGGTTTAGGGTTTAGGGTTTAGGGTTTAGGGTTTAGGGCTTGGCCGCTGTGCTCCACCTCTTTTCAAATGCACACGACTCCGCCGTCCAAGCAGCAAGCAGGTCACGCTTCATCCTAAACCCCAAACCCTAAACCCTAAACCCCAAACCCTAGACCCTTAACCCTAACTGCGAAATTCCCGCTAGTGGTCCTTCGCAGGCCACCTTCCCAGGGAATCCTCGCACCGTGGACCCTGAACAAAAGCATGCTCGCTCTGCGGTGAAGGGTTTAAGGCTAAATTACAGTTTAGGGTTTTGGGGTTCAGGGTTAGGCTTTAGGGTTTCAAGGTTCTGGGCATAGGCTCGAGTGGGCCCTGAGCCCAGGCTTTAGGGATTCAGGGCTTAGGGTGGAACGTTGGCCAGCTGAACGCAGCAAAGTGTGGAGACATGCCCACACCAAATCACCCAATCACCACTCACCACATGCCAAACCAAAG